TACATATATATATATAGACACAAGAGTGTAAGGGTATATTATACACAAAAATTAGTAAAAAAATTAATTATTATTTATATAATATATTAAACTATTATCTAAAATTTATATCTAAAAAATCAAAAATTAAACTAAATTTACTAAAAATAAACTGATCAGAGAGTAATATTTTCTCAATCACTTTGCTCATAAAAATTTTCTCAGCAAAGTTAGCATCTAATTAAACATGCCTTCAATGTGCTTACAAATATTTTGAGGGAGAAAGCAGCATTTTTTCCGAAAATAAAAAACACCTTTAAAAAAGGTAAATATCCAATTCCGTCGTTGTTACGTAACCACGAGTGCATCAGATCATAAGTAAAACGTTCGGACCTAAATAACCCAAATTTATTATTTTCAAAAAGAAAAATTTATCTAATTTTGTCTTAAATTCCACGCTCGCCGTTATTCAAACAGTATGCGGTGGGCATCTAGCTGACGTGGCAATCCCCGATTGGAAAATAGCCCAGAAAGGTGAAGTGAGAAATCTCAGGCTCTTAGCTACAGCTGTAACTGCACAGTCACCAGGGTCAAAACGTGGGCGGCTCAAGTCTGACCGTCGTTCGGCGGACAGACACGCCTGGATTTTCAATGCCACCGCCAACGCCATCGCCACCGGCTCTTCAAGCTTTATTACCGAGTATATTAATTAACCAAATTCAATTGTCTGAACTCAACCAAGGACACAAATTGCAAAGGACCCTGAAGCCCCTCTATCAACTAGCTAAAGATTTAACCAAATTCTTCATATTTCTCTTATTTTTATGTGTTTTATTATGATTTTTATACATAGAGATTAAAAATTGAATCTTAAATTTATAATTAAAATTATAAATAATTTTATCATTAAATCACATAATTAATGATATTTTACTATGTTTAAGAAGTCAAATCTTAACGAAGACATGATCTTTACATTAATTGAAAAGAAATAAAAAAAAATAACATGATGTTTCTAGTATTTACTATCAATGTTTTCAAATCAATTTTTGTGTATTTCAAAATTAATTTTTCTTCCAATTATTTTAAGAGCATACCCCACATGAATATGTTGCATTTAAGAAAAGTAATTTTTATGTTGACCCCAAAACATTTGAATCTTAAATATAACCTATAAAATAATACTTATTTATAAGTGGATGCAACTTTTGAAATTAGAAAAACACAATCTTCTCAATAACTGATAATAAGAATAATTTATATGAAAATTTGGCATTTGACACAGTCTGCAAATTTTTTCATTCAAGTTATCTTTATTTCAATTAATTGCTGGTTTGGCCATCGATAGTGTCCTCCTTTTTAAAAAGTCAAAGTTCAAGCCCTTAATTATGAATTTGGTGAAAGTTTGATTTCTAATTTTTGAGTTTTTACAATTAAATTTGACATTAAAGATTTCTTTTTCTAATTATTTTCTTAGAAAAATTATTAAAAAAAATAAAACAAAAATGGTCAGGTAGAGGTGTCTTTTGGGATTATATAAGCGAACTGGTTGACATTTCTGAAGGAGAGTAACATGCAGAAGGGGATAAGAACTGCAAGTTGAACCATTCTATTTGAAGTCAAAATCAGGAGGCTCTCCGCATATAAGAAGGCCCCATCTGCAATCCATGGAATCATGCAAGTTGAAGAAAGTCTTAATGGAAAAGAACAGCTCCAAAAAGCCTGCGCTCCGAAATAGGGATGGCGAAGAGAAGGAGATGATGAAGAAATCTAGTTCCGATGATGGACAAGATGATCTTATGGATATCAAAGAGGTGAGGATGTTGCAAAAGAAAATTTTTATCAAAAAAGACATGCACGTTTCTGTTTGTGATGAAAATTTTGATTTTTATTGATTCTCGTTCATTTTAGGAATCAAAGAAACGGTTTCTTCTGTGTTATTTTATTTTTTATTTTTAAATATATTGAATTGGTGTGTTTTTGGTCTTCTTATCCATATAGGAGGGTGTCTCATGCATGCATTCTTGCTAGTAAACATGACCTGTAACATTACATAGAACAAGTTTTGATCATATTTTTTAAAATACTGAAATTTATTGAATTTTTTTCTGGATTCGTATGTTTTCACTCTAATTTTTAAAACTTAGATCACCAAATTAAATGCTTTCTTTAAGAGAAAAATCCTAAAAACTCATAAAACTGAGTATCCGATCAATGGAAAGATGTTTCATCTTTTTCTTAATTTCCCCTAATCTTTATTATTTTCACCTAATAATATATATTGTTCTTAGTTGATTTTTGTCTTCCCCTAATCATCTCTATACATTGAATACCAAGAATTTCATAATCTTATTTATGTGGGGGTGGTCCCCTAATTAATGGTACAAGAATCAGTAAAATTTTCAATGTAATGCTTAAATAATTAAGTTGTTCAACTAGAATGAATTATCACATATATGCATCTTACATTGAATATCTTAGAATATTAAAATACTAATCTTAATCTTAATCTTAGTATCCAAAAAAAAAAAAAAAAATTCTTACTCTTATTATCAATAAGCTTCCATCTAATTAAGATGCACAATGCCTTCGGGAAAAGAAAAAAAATTGAATATGCAAAATCAACTTTAAATATATCTTTAATTATCTGCAAAGGGTGCTCAAAGTCTACATGATTAAAAAATCCAAGTCTGTGGTGGATCCGAGTAAACATGATCCATATATGCCTTCCTGGTCAAATTATATGCAGACTGAGTTTTCATCAACATAATTTTCCTGGATTTTTTTTTTTTATTTATATGTGTTCCCCTCAAAATGAAAAAAGGAAAAAGAAAAAGGGTATGCACTAAATTAAGTAGTAGATCTTTTATCATTGCAGAAAACCTTTCAAAAACAATTTTTCTTCATCCCGGTGATTTAATTTAGTATGATTCTGCAGGTGCCGTTGTTAACCATGACTGGGAAACCATCTGCAGAAACAGATAACAACAATTTTGACTCCTCGTCAATTCAGCAAAATCAGGCATGGATTCATGCATTACAAATTTACAGTTTTTTAATCAACCAAATAGTTTTATCTCCGAAGTGCAGGTATTTGAACTCTTATACAAATATAAATATCACAAATAAAAAAGTATTATGTAATTCAGACAATATTAAATTGTACAACACTTTTATTGAATAAGAGATCCTACTTTACAATCATAATTTTACAAAATAGGGAGCTATATCACAAATTTACAATTTTCTCTATTTTATTTTTACTTCTTCCAATATATATGTGTGTAAGAATGTCTCATACTAGATGAATTAATTTTATGTTTTCCTATCTAGGAGGAAGATCAAATTGAATCAACTAAGGTCAAGGTGGGTGAGGTTAGAGAAGAAAACGAGAGGCTAAAACAGTTACTGGCTCAAATGCTGAAGGATTACCAGTCTTTACGAGGGCGTTTCTTCAACACACTTCAACAAGCAGACTCAAAGAAATCTTCTACTACCAATCAAGAAATTGAAGAGCCTGAGATCATCTGCCTTAGCCTAGGAAGAACTTCAAGTACTGAAATGAAGAAAGAAGAGAAAAAGAACATGAATGGAAGAAAGGAGGACGAGAAATCGAAGAATGAAGGACTTGCACTTGGGTTGGAATGCAAATTTGAGCCAGCTGCAACAAAAAATCGAAGTTCAGAAAGTAGCTTTGAGGAGAAAGCTATGGAGATGTTGCCTCCCAATAAAATTCTGAAGACTGAGAGTTTAAGTGGAGATGAAGCAGTTTTGCATCAGGCACAGTTAAAAAAAACTAGGGTTTCTGTTAGAGCTAGATGTGACACTCCAACAGTAAGTAAACAACTAATCAAAAATTTCTAAATTACCGAACAGAAAACCCAACGTGCCATAAACTAAATTTTATTACTTCTGGTTTTTTTTCAGCTGAATGATGGGTGCCAGTGGAGAAAATATGGGCAGAAAATAGCAAAAGGGAATCCATGCCCTAGAGCATACTATCGGTGTACAGTCTCACCAACCTGCCCTGTGAGAAAACAGGTTCATTTTATGCCCCTTAGTTGAAATCTGATTCAATTCGGATTGGTGTTTCTTTCTTTTTTCTTTTTTTTTTTTTCCTTCCTTTTAATTTGTGGGCATGTGTTTCTTTATTACATTCGGATTGGTGTTTCTTTCTTTTTTCTTTTTTTTTCCTTCCTTTTAATTTGTGGGCATGTGTTTCTTTATTATGTAACATATATAAAAGTTCAAAATTTTGTAATTTGAATTATGTCAAATTATAAAATCAAATCATCTAATTGCCCTAACATTCAAGTACCCATCTCTCATCTAAAAAAATTTATTTTGTGCAATTTAGTGCAGGTGCTGCACAAATATTTATATATTCATATATAAACAAAAAAAGTTTCCTTCAATCAAGAGTGAAGAAAAATGTTAATTCAAACAAAAAGCTATACATCCTATATACAAATGCTAGTGTGTCCTGATCTTCATTACTTTTTGTAAATGTTATAGGTGCAGAGGTGTGTGCAGGACATGTCGATCTTAGTAACAACCTATGAAGGAACCCATGACCACCCACTTCCCCTTTCTGCCACAGCTATGGCTTCCACTACATCAGCAGCCGCTTCCATGCTACAATCTCAATCATCTACCTCCCAACCTGGCCTTGGAACCTCCTTTTCCATCCCCTTGGCCACATCTTCAGCTTCCAATCTCCATTACCCAGCCCTCAACTTCTCTCAAAATTTAAGGCCCTATCAATACTATGTCACAAACCCCTCAATCTCAACTTCCAATTCTCACCCCACTATCACTCTTGATCTTACTGCACCCGCCAATCCCTCATATTTCAATAAACTTTCTACTGCAACAAGATACCCTCCAGCATGCCTCAACTTCTCCTCTTCGTCTTCTTCAACTTTAGAGCTCAATGCTAGTCAAAGAAACAGTACTTTTGGTTTAATGAATCTTGAAAGGCAACCAACGTCTCAAGAGCAATTGTATCGACCTCACACGCAAATGATCATCAACCAGACACAATCTCAACAGCCTTTACCGGAGACAATAGCTGCTGCAACCAAGGCGATTGCTTGGAACCCGAATTTCAGATCTGCCTTAGCGGCTGCTATCACCACTGTTGTTGCAAATGGAGGAGGAATGAGTGCACAGGGAGATAGTTCCGGCCTGAACAAGAAGTGGGGGGATTCACTTCCTTTGAGTACACAAAATGGAGTGGTGTGTGGTTCAAGCTTCTTGAGCCAATCGTCATTGGCGAATTCTCCCCAGCAACAGCAACAAGAAAGAAGCTTACCTCTATTCCCTATTAATTCATTGTCGTTGGCTGCATCCAAGAGTGCTTCAGGTTCTGTTGATAATGGTAATCATATCAAGTGAATGGCTTAGGTTGTGTTAACGGGCGTACTTGGGTCATCGTATAAATATTTTTAATTTAAAAAAAATTTTGTGATTATGTACGGCTTTTTGAAAAATAAAACTTTTCCAAATAAAAAAAAAAAACTGTACAACTGTATGAGTGATAAAATAAAAAAGATACCTAAGTTTATAGGTATTTAAAAGTACAGTTAAATTATGTTTTTTAAGAAATATATCAATTATTAAGAGTTGAATTTTTACATTAAAAAAGTTCAAATTTTAGATTTTTTTTTTTTTTTGACCAGGTAGATAGTTAGGAAGTTAGTAGAGTTAGTTGTTAGCAGCTTGAATTTTTTCAGAAAAGTGAACATTTCACCCCTCATTTGAGGCGCGCGACGATTAGGTCGCAAGTTGGTGAAGTTCACGGCGGTGGCAGAGCTCAAAGTCCTGACCTCCGCCTCACCTAAGCCCTAAAGCTTGGGGCCAACCAATTGGGGCACAGGTCCGGTTCGCTCAAATTTTAAATTGATAAATAAAGCTTTGAAAAGAGAATGATTACCCTATATGGTGTGGTCCACCATCATCCATACCAATATATTTCTTTTATCAAATTGTATCCTTTCTCTGTTCTCTCCCCTATACTCGAGTGTGGCTTGAGGTATGGGATATCTTCCTCCTAACTGGTATGTTCTAAAACCGAAGACTCTAGATGTTCTGGGAGCTCTAGAATTTTTTTCAATTTCGGATCTAGTTGGAGCACTAGGGTTCTGGTTAGGATTCTGACTTGGATTTTCAGGGGTTACATTCATGAATATTTTTTTCTGTTGGGATTCGTATTCATGAATAATTAGAAGTATGGGTTTTTGATTTTTGAAGTAAGCCTCAACTGGAAGTTCTAGGTCTAGAATTTGATCCTCAATGTCTTCCCCATGGTATTTTAGTGTTAAGACTTCTTCAACATTAACTTCTTTTCCTTTTGAAGAAAAGTAAGTTTCAATGAAATATATATATTAAATAAAGCTGAATTGTGGGGGAAAAAAAATGCTATTTGAATCTTGAGTTGCGCTCATCACTCGCCACTCATCTGATTAAAAAACCCAAACCAAACCCATAGGCCCATTAGGGAGGCCCATCGGCTTGCAATTAGGGGAAGGAGAAGACGACCACTTCAAACTTTCAAAGTTGAAGGACAGTTTTTCTTTGTGCCCACTACTCTGCCAAGTGTCAAAAGAACTGCCATCCCAAGTTCCTTCTCCCATGCATATATAAGATGCAGAACTGCCTCTTGGGAACAGAATGAATCAAAATTCCGATCTGAGATCCAAGCCAAGCATATTAGTGCAACAGGTAAGTTCTACCTTGATTTATCTCATCTGCTTTCTATATGTTTCTGCAAATTAAAGAGCAAATATGATATTTTGCACTATGAATGTCCGTCCTTTCCTTTCCTCCATTAGGATTCATGACACTTATGACTATGGAGAAAAACAAAAACGATAGCTAGGTGGACAGGGTAGAAGATAAGATTACAGGTTCAGGTCTATCATGTTGGTGTGCGGCACATGAAAGCCCTATGATCCAATTCCAATGTTTGAAATGATGGTGTTATATTTATTAATATATCTCAACCTGTTCGGGTTGGAATCAATGTCCGATAATTTATGTAAGAAGTGTAAGTGGATCCCGCAGGTAATCTAGAGTGATAAGGAATCTAGGCCCATAATTCAAGAATAAATTCACTACCTTACATCATATTTTGAAATTTTGAAAAGGAAACAGTTTATGTTATTAAGAAAATGTTGTTGTGTTCGCAATATCTTAACACTAGTCTGGAACAGATGCTTGATGAAATCAGGATATGCAGAAAACTTGTGTCAATAAAGGTACAAATTGGGATAGTGATCATTTCCAATTTTGAGTGTAGAGATGGCACAAGAACAACAGGTCAAAAAGTGTTCGGTACTTTCAACTTGTGATGCATATTTTGAGAACATACAGTGCAGGAAGAAATTACCTCAATCATTTCAGGAGTCTTTAACTGCTGCTTTTGCAAAAATTCCTGTGTCAACTTTTCCACAAGTTCCTGGTGGCAGAGGTGATAGCTAAACCTTAATTGCTCCTGCAGTTTAAAGTAATTGCTAGTTCATGCCCTTGGCGTAATAATAGAAAACACTTCAGTTTTTAAAAGTTGTCTTGTGATATTACCTTGTAGTGATTGAAATTCTAGCTGACACAACAATTGCTGAGGCTGTTAAGATTCTATCAGAATGCGATATCATGTCAGCTCCAGTTATAAACCCGGATGCAATAAGAAGCATGGATTGGAGAGAGAGGTACATGGGAATTGTAGATTACCCAGCAATCGTTCTCTGGGTACTAGAAAGTGCAGAAATTGCAGCAGTTGCTTTATCAACCAGCACTGCCACAGCTGCAGGCGTTGGTGCTGCAGCTGTTGGTGCTCTTGGAGCTGTAGCAATGGGTGCAACAGGTCCTGCTGCACTTGCCGGACTAACTGTTGCTGCAGTAGGAGCTGCTGTGGCTGGTGGTGTGGCTGCAGATCAAGGGGCAGGAAAAGATGCTTCAACAGCTGCTAGCCACTTGGGAGAGGATTTTTACAAAGTCGTCCTTGAAGAAGAGCCCTTTAAGTCAACAAAAGTAAGTTTTATTGTGAACAGAAGGTGAGTGAAGCTCATCCCTGGTCCATTTGAACACATTCTACAGGTTCTGCTGAGGTAAGAATTTATATATTTCAATTTTAGTTCATCAGCAGAACCAGTAAACTGAGTGAATTCCAAAATTGGGACTTGAGAGGGAAGGAAGTTCTGTCATTTATACAATCCTCTTGAAAATGTAGGACAGTACTTGATATTGTATTCTCTTTCCAGGTAAGTTCTATAATCAAATCCTTCCGCTGGGCTCCTTTTCTTCCAGTTGCAACAGATAGTTCAATGTTGAGTGTCATGCTGCTACTTTCAAAATATAGGCAGAGAAATGTCCCTGTGATTAAACCAGGCCAGCCTGATATCAAGAACTACATTACGCAATCTGCAGTTATTCATGGTCTTGATGGATGCAGAGGAAAGGACTGGTTTGACACTATTGCTGCAAGGCCTATCTCTGATTTAGGTCTCCCTTTCATGCCATGTGATGAGGTGAGCTATTCCTAGATACTTCAACTAAGAAAACTTTAAGCTAACTTTTGAAATGGACCTTCTGATGCTTCTGCATGCCTCCATTTTCAGGTTGTTAGCATCCAAAGTGATGAACCAGTTCTAGAATCTTTCAAGCTAATGAGAGATCACCAAATAGGTGGTCTTCCAGTTGTAGAAGGGCCTAACAAGAAGATCGTTGGGAATGTAAGCATAAGAGACATCAGACACTTGCTGCTCAAACCAGAACTATTCTCCAATTTCAGGTTGGTAAAAAAATTTCATCTGCATGGCTCACGTTAAATGTTGATAATTCCAGTCATTTTCATTGCAAACCTTTACATTATCAACATGAATACAAATAAGATCCTCATGAATGGGGAAAAATGACCTATTTCTGAGACTACAATTACAATCATAGAAAGGCCCGTTCCATTCACCAGAATGCTGAAGAAATCGGCGCAGCACTCCAAAAGATATTCATCTAAACCGTCTCCTCTGAACCTTGTATAGAAATTTAGCAAAATTGTACTCTATGCTACACTTGGAGGTTCCACCATTACTTTATTTGCTATTTTTTCTCACTTTCAGGCAGCTAACCGTGAAGGAGTTCATGAATACAGTCTCAACCAAAGAATATGGCAGAGTTACCCCACCGAAAACATGCATGCTAGAGACAACTCTCGGCAGTGTGATCAATACTCTTGCCTCCTCGTCAATTCACCGGATCTATGTAGTAGCGGGCAGTGAAGATGAAGTCGTTGGTGTAATCACACTTAGAGACGTGATCTCTTGCTTCATATTTGAGCCTCCAAACCATTTTGATAGTTACTTTGGGTTTTCAGCAAAAGAAATGTTGAATCAGTGATACTTCTTGCTGTACTAATCTAAAGGAACCGCAGAAATGTAACTGAATGGTTAAGTAATAAAATTATAATTTCTATTTATCAAAAGCAGGTCCCTTTCATCTATTTCGAGCAGAACTTAATCCAGGGAGTTTTTTCAATCCTCTGTCACTTATCATTTGTCTGATTCTTTCGACATCTCTCCATCTTTCTAGCCCAGCATATATGTTGGAAAGAATCACCAACGGACTTGGATTCTCTGGCTCTAACTCTGAAAGCTTCACAGCCATTTCTTCCCCTAGCTCAGAATTCAAGTCAGACCTACAAGCACCAAGGAGAGAAGAAAACACAGAATTTGGAGGATCTGGCATTTCTTGTATCAATTCTCTAGCTTCATATAGCCTGCCAGATCTGCTCAAAAGATCAATCATGCAACCAAATTGCTCAGGAGTGGGGCTAGAGTTGTGATCTTTACCAATCATTTGGAAAACTTGCCATCCCCTGTCCACTTGACCAGTATGACTGCACATAGATAGAACACTAGTGAATGTTGCTGAACTTGGATTTACCTTCTCATCCTGCATCAGATTGAAAATTTCAAATGCAGATTCATACTCTCCATTTTTTCCATACCCAGATATCATTGCATTCCAAAATGCTGGATCCTCGGGCTTTATCTCAAACTGATCGAAAATTCTCCGTGCAGAAGAGAAATATCCGCATTTCATATACGTGTCAATCAATGCAGTAGCAATAAATTCATCATTACTAATCCCAATCCTAATAGCATGCCCATGAATCTCTTTTCCCTGCTTTAAAGCAGACAAAACTGAACATGCTGGCAAAAGACTAGTGATGCATTTCAAAGTTGGTTTTCTGCCCATAGACTGCATTCTCTCAAACCACTTGAGAGCATCCACTGCCAACCCTAAATGTGAAAACCCACTAATTATTGAATTCCATGTTGTTGAATCAGGTTCAAGTCCTTCAGATCCTAAAAGTTCAAACAACCTAACAGCTGTCTCACTCTGACCATTTAGCATCATTCCTGAAATCAATGAATTCCATGTGATCAAATTCCTGCTACAATTCAATTCCTTGAATATGTCATAGGCCCAATGCCAACAACCACATTTCGAATACATATCTACAAGTCCAGTTCCGACCTTGGTATCATATTGCATCTCAGTTTTTTTTACAAACCCATGAACCTGCCTGCCAAACTGAAGATACAAAAGACTTGTACATGCAGAGATAACAGAAATTAAAGTAACTGAATTGGGTTCCTCAAATGAGGATTTCATCATGTCCTTGAACACATCCAATACCAGACGTGGAACACCATTTTTCAGTAGCCCTGAAACAAAAGCATTATAGCTCACAACACGTTTATCAGGCATCTCTCCAAACACTTTTGTAGCAAAGACCAACTCTTCATAACTTGAATACATAGTTACCAGGGAGGTTGCCACATAAGTATCCATTTTAACCCCCAACTTTATAGCCCAGCAGTGCATTTGCCTACCCTGTTCCACATTTTCACAAGAGGACAACAAAATAGCCAAAGTCACTGAATTCGGCCTGAAAGATCCAGACCCCATCTCGTTAAACACCCTTAAAGCCTCACTGCAATGGCCATTTCGCAAAAACCCAGAAATCATCGCATTGATAGATGCCATGTTTCGTTCAGGCATTTCGACGAACACCTTTAGGGCTTCATCAATGCGATGCAACTTCATGTACATATCCGTCAGAGCCGTGGCGGTGTAAACGTCAAAGAGAAAGCCAGCTTTAATGAGATTGCAATGCAGCATTTGGCCATGGATTGGCGATTGGAGCTTGGCGCAAGCTTTGAGAAGAGGTGGAAAGGTGAACTTGTGAGGAGGAAGTGCCGCAGAGTGGTGGTGGGTGTATAAAGAGAGTGCTTCTTTGTATAACCCATTCGCCACTAGTTTGGGTATCTGCTGTTTCATGGAATTGCACTGTAAACCGAAGAAGAAGCATTACTAACTAGCGTTTTAATTTCATGTTTTGAACTTTCTTTCGAGTTTCTGTAATGGCTTCGATACTATGCAATGAAGCCAAAATAAAAAAAAAATAAAAAATGAAACTAGCGTTTACGTTTGTCCTTTACATTTTAATTGATCTTCATTGGCATCCTAAATCTTTTAATCCTCAATTTTTTATTGATTTTAATTTGATCCCTAAAATGTTCTAGAGTCAATTTCCTTTTTGATGGTGAAAAGTTCATGGTGAGCAATGCAAGACGACTAGGAGCATGTCACCAGCTCTCAGTTGAACTTTTAATGGGACGTTAAGGTTGACTCGGGGGAGTTATTAGGTTAGTAATAAGTTTTAATTTAAATCATCTTACAATAAGTCAATCACATATTAGAAGAAGGTTATTATTTTGATAAATATATAAGGATATTAATCACTACTAAAAACTTAAACTTAGTTTTTAAAGTTTCATAAACTTAGTCTAAAATGTTGTTAGATTAATGATAAATGTCTTTTTAACAAAAGTTAATAAAACTTAATATAATTAAAAAAATGCTATCAATTCTAACTTTATAAAAAATTAGAATTTTAATTTCTAAAAAAAAAAGCATTATCATCTAATGAATATTTCGAAAAACCAACCATTTGATTTAGTCTTTTATAATTTTATTTTTGTAGATCATACATATTAATTTTTAAATTAATTAAATATTTCTAATTAGTTAATTGATTATACAAATTTAAAACCATTAATTATACGTTAGAAAATATATGTTTCTTAATCAAATGGTTTTAAATATTAGATCAACTTAAAAATTAACATATATAATATATATAAATAAAACATGAAATCTAATAATTAGTTTTCATAATATTTATTAAAAAATAATATTTTTGAAATTAAAACTTCAATTTTTTGAAAGCCACTATTTTTTTTTTTTTTGAACATGGAGAATTTGGGGGAAAGAGATTAAATTTACAAATAATTAAAGATTAGAACTCTCAACTACTTGAATCCAAATTCTTAAACTTGATGATGAACTATTTGACCATTGGGTTGGTTCAATATGCACTATTAGTGTATATTCGTGACAGGAACGACGATCTTATTCAACGAGAAATTATAATAGACATGCATAAGAATGCCATATAAAGAGGCATATAGACAACATTATTTGATGCTAGCCAACCATATGGCAGCATACTTGTCACACGGTACTTTATTAGTCACCAGTAGGTGGAGTACACACAAGATCAAACCCAAATAGTAACACATACTTGTCACGCACAGTCCTTTTTATTGGTCACCCGTAGGTGGAGCAGATGTTACACACAAAGTTGTCATGCGCATCCGCATGCTGCAAATTGACAAACAAAATAATAGTAACAATCAACAATGCAATTGTTGTTAAAAGTTAGGAGTGCTAATGTTATC